TTTCCTGCATATTTGGCCTCCACCATATTAAAACCTTTCTGACTTTTGGCAAATGTTCCTTAGAATTTAAGCAGAACAAATATTGACCACGTGTGGCTTGGTGGGTTTTGATGGGTTTTTTTGTTGGTGGGTTTTTTTTGTTTGTTTTGTTTTTTTCCTTAGGAACATCAACTGCCAATAGGGGTTAAGCTGCGGTTATACAATTACTACAGCTGTTCCTGCCCTAATAAAAATATTCTAGATTGTAATACAATGTTAATAACATTAGTGGGCATAGGTTTCTGTTGCTGCATTGTGAATGGTATGACACTACTTTTCCAGGAATTTTTTAGTGGATAATTGAGTGTTGCTTTGGCACAGGAGTCTTGGATTTAAGTTTTGAAGGTAAAATTTAATCTCCTGTGATTCTATTGCTGTTATTAAGCCAGTTTTTCTCCTGTTATTAGATTGAACTCATTTATGTTTATGTCATATAAACACACCAGGTGGTGTTTCTTTATGAACTACAATGGTGTGTCTGAGTTAAATGCTCAGATTACGGTTTTTCTAGGAAAGGCTCTAACTTCGCACGCTACAGTTTTGTATCTGTGTTATGCATCATTCATAACCAACTTCTTCTAAATCCAGAAGTTGGAAAATGCTACTGGTTGGAACTTTTTGTTTTTGTAATTTTGTCATATGCTTGGAAGTCAAAATTGCTGTCTAAAGTTTAGTGCTGCCCTTGCTTTAGGTTTCCTCTTGCGTTGGTTCTTACAATGAGAGCCTTGATTTTGCTCCTGACCAGTTTGCCTACGGTCATACTGGTAGGGAGCTGGGATGTGGCAGAGCACACAGCTCCTGGAGGGGTGAAGTGCCTCTGGCTCTTTTGAAAGAAAAGGCATGCACCTCCTTGAAATGTCAAATGCAATGAACACCGCTCTTGTGTAAGTAGCTGTCTTAACCCCAGTCTTTGTTCTAGTTTATGACTAGTTTGCAGTTCCTCATTTATTGTGCTGTTTTGAAACTTCTGGGGACTGCAGGCTTTTGGTGTGAATTCACAAATATGTACGTGTTCTGAAATACTTGTTTCCATCAGCTAGCTCGATTTGGCTGTCCAGAATCACATATAGGAGCAGTTTTGCTACAGATCAAAATGGGGCAGAATTTTGTCCTGATCACATGGATTCTTGTAGATGGCACTGTGCTTATAAGATATTTCTGCCCATGTATTGTTATAATAGTGTGTCTTAGAGGGAAGTTTTTCAACATGTATAAAAAATACTGCACACTGGGTGGTATAAACACGGATTCTGTTTCTTAAGTATTTCCATAAGACTAGGGTTATTTGTCCAGGTGTAATTTGTTCACAAAACTGTCACTTTTCATTCAGGGACATTGTTGAAAGTATATTGTAGAAAAAGCATTAATACCATATCAGAAACAAATTCATGCTAGACTTTTGTTCTATGTGGTACAGTTTTTTGCCTGTGAACCATACTCTTATGGTTGTGTTATGAGTGTTAAGAAGATAGTTAGTCGTGCATAAACCAGCAGAAGTCATTGAGCAGTAAAAAAAATGAAAAGAGAGATAGTTGATCCAGTTTTGTCCAGTGGTTGAAAAGTTCTTTAAGCTCAAACCTGCACTGTTCTAAAGAGCAAAATTTTATGTATTCATAAGGTAAATGCAGGGGCATAAAAAGAATCTGTATTATGCGTAGAACTAAAATATTTATTTCAATCTGCCAAGCATTGCACTGAGTAAATAAGGTGCAGAAAATGAATAATACCTCAGGATAAGTTCTTCTTTTACTTAACCTTCTATATTACTAATAAATTAATTTGGTGACATTGATGTAACTAGAACATCACCTGAGGTACCTGTCAGAAACACCTGACAAGAAACATATTTCTGAAAAAAAATACAACCTGCTGCTGTACTAGTCATCCAAATGCTACCTCACCTATTTCTGATTACAGCAAATGTCTGAGAAGACAGGAGTGAAGTTATTAATCAGATCTGTACATTACCATTATGGAAGAAACCAATCTTTAAAAAGAAATTCCTTAAAATTATTTTCTTTTCAAAATCCAAATGGTTTCAACTTATTGTTTTTTGTCAGAAGTACATAATGTTCTGTTAGGCCTTTTGGGCTGAGTGATTTGATATTATGGCAAGAATCTATGGGTGAAATTTTAGGGGTTATAAAAGATAATTCAGAGCAGAGGTCCACAGAGACTCTGAAAATGACTAAGTAATAGTCAGGCTTTGCTATACATTTGAGAATTTACTGTGTTCCTTTCAGACTTTTTCTTATGTTTTATAATTAACTTCTTCAGTTCTCCATGTGGGACCACTTCTTCATGCTAGGTGTTTTTTTCGTTCACACAAGACCTCCTGCAAAAGTCTACTGGACCAGAATCATAGAGTCATAAAATGGCCCAGGTTGGAAGGAACCTCCAAAGATCATCTGGTCCAGCCTTGTGGGAAAGGAAGCCTGGATCAGATTGTCTAGATTGTCTAGCACCTAGTCTGGTGACATCTTGAAAACCTCCAATGATAGGGACTTCACCGTGTCCCTGGGGAGGTCGTTCCAGTGGTTGGTGGTTCTCACTGTAAAAAATTTTACTGAGATGAAAGGCCTCCCAGTGCAACTTGTACCTGTTGCCCCTGGTGGCTCTGTGTGGCTCCTTGTGAAGAGAGAGCCTCTGTCCTCTTTGTAGCTGCCCTTTAAGTACTGAAATACTGTGATGACATCCCCCCTGAGCCTTCTCTTCTCCAAGGAGAAGAGACAAGAACTATTGCAGTGCTAGGTGAG